CCGCCACTGCCTCCTGCTGCCGGTGCGGCTCGTGCCTTGGCTCCCTGGTGGTGGGTGGACGCGCTGCCCCTCACATGCCTCCATGTGTCCTCCCTGCCTTCTCTCCCAGGTGCTCCTGCAGCCCCACAACATGTCCTGCCAGCCCTGCTGCCAGCCCTGCCTGCCATGCCAGCCCTGCGGCCCCACTCCGCTGGCCAACAGCTGCAACGAGCCCTGTGTCAGGCAGTGCCAGAACTCCACCGTTGTCATCGAACCCTCCCCCGTGGTGGTGACCCTGCCCGGCCCCATCCTCAGCTCCTTCCCACAGAACACCGTGGTGGGCTCCTCCACCTCCGCTGCCGTTGGTAACATCCTCAGCTGTAACGGAGTGCCCATCAACTCCGGGTGCTGTGACCTCTCCTGCCTCGGCAGCCGCTACTGTGGCAGAATTTGCTAAAGCTGCTGCAGGCAGCTCCACAGAAGAACCCCCTGGAACCCAGAAGATGGAAATGGACTGAGCATGGAGACCCTAGCTGTTGCTTTCAGAGGGGCTGAACACTCTCGAATCCCCCTGCAAAGGAAGGCAGGAAGAGACGTGCCTGGGCCCTCTGAAAATATGGCCCTTGTCTAACTTGCCTGTTTCTCTCTCTCTTTTGTCTCATCTTCTGCTCCCTGGTTTGTCAGCACCTGCTAAGCCCCATCTGAGGAAGGACCTGCTGCTCCTTTCCCTGTCAGGGTGCTGGCAGGCAGGCAAAAGGCCAGTGCCGACTCTACCCTGCCCGAGGGGCAAAGACTCCTGCGCTACGCTTGGTGCTCCTTGCAGCGTGGTGCTCACTCAGAGGACCTCCTTTTCCTCTTTCAATTCAATAAAGTTCTGCTGCATCCCAGCCTAGGCCTCCGCGTGGTCCTTCTCTCTCCAGTCGTTCTCCCCAGCTGCCATAGAGAAAGGTGTTTGTCTGGGGAGATCTTGCAGAGGCCTAAAGGAGAGCTCTCAGCATTCCCAGATAAAGGTGGTTGGTGTAATACAATCCCTTTCTCAAGTTACTGTCATTCGCAGTTGAGGAAGCTGTCTGCTGCTTCAGCAGAGCCTGCAGTCGTCAGAGCCTGCCTTTCTGCATGCATGCACAGAAATGCCCTTTTGAGTCTTTGAACATGTTCTGCAGATTCTGGTGAGTCCAAATGCTTCCAAAGTGAGGAGTACATCCACCCAATTTCAATTTCAGTTGTGGTGGCACTGGGACCTGCCTTTGAATTGAGCAGCACCTGTGAGAGATCCTTCATGTGTGGTCCTTGCTTCAGCGTTTCCCCTGGTATGGTTGTGGTTGTTTGACAGTTTTCTCCTCACATGCCACTCTTCTCTACCATTTCTCCCCAGTGCAGTTTTGGTCACAAGATTCTCCAGCTACAATTCTCCCTTCCCTTCATCAAGCAACAGAGCCAGGCCATTCCTTGCTCAGCTCCCCTTGAGACTTCCAACTACATACGGGAACTTCTGCAGCATTTCAGCTCTCTTTGCCTTGACTTAGCTTTCCTTGTAGGTATTGCAGGGACCTTGTCTCTCCCCACTTAGACTGCCAGCATTTCCTCTAGCACAGCCAGAAGAGTTGCAGTTCCAAAGGGTAGATGTGCTCTTGTTCCAGACCTGTCACTCTCCCTCTCTCTAGCCATGCACATGGACACAGCACATGGGAGGGTTTGTGTGATCTTCAAAAGGGATGTGGAGAGCCTTGCTCCCTCTTTCATACCCATTCCTCACAACACATCTTCTATTATTTGCCATGCAAATAATTTGCCATCCTTTCCCAAATGGATTGCTCCTGTTTTAGCTCAAGTGTTTAATTTCCCTCTTTCTGTGTCAGCCAGCACTGAGAGTCCCACAGATCATCTGCCCTGCTCTTCCGTAGCTGGACAGCCATGTCTCACCAGCCTCTGCCAGTCCCACCAAGGTTTCCAGAAAAAGCTGGACTTTTTCACACTCCCTACTCCTCAAGGGTCCCAGTGAGATCCCAGGAAATGGGAACTTAAGCATCCCAGCTCCTGTGTTCTTCCTCTGCCAGCTCAAATCTGCCTCCAATTCTCAGCACAAAGGGTGAAGCAAAACACCCTGGGGGAAGCCTGACACCCCACACCTCTACCCCAGGGAGCCTTTCTGCTCATATCACCTAGTGGTTAAAGCTTGCTTTGCCAAACTGAGGGAATCAAGTTACTACCTCTGCTGGGCCCCGGGCTCCCCAGGGCCATGGCCAGCTTTTCCACTACTGGGAGGCTCCGACTGGTTCAGTCAGGCCACAGCTAGACCTTTCAAAAGCCTTTTATTCATCAGGGCCCTGAACATCTACACCAGCACTCCTATGCACTTGTAAAACCACTGCCTCGTGTAAAACTGCAGACTAGGCTGTGCAAGGGAAGCTGCACAGCTACCATAGACAGGTAGGAAGCTGCTGACAGTTCCCAGCACTGGAACTGCAGTGCCCAGGCAGAAGGAGACAAAGGAGGTGTCTAGGGACACAACCGTTACAGCCATCTCCAGCAGGGCAAAATACCTCCTGGTGAGTTTTTCTTTCCAGTCAGAGTTCAGGTAGAGACAGGGCAGTGTTTGTGGCTGAGTAACATGACCAGCAGTGCTGCTCTTCTTCTGTGCTATGACAAATATGACAACATCCTGGCTTTTGGCCAGCAGGATTTGGCTGCAGGCCTGGAACTTTTGGCATGGTAGGCACTGATTGTGGCAGGATATGCCATTGGACTGGTTTTGCACCTGGTACAGAGGGCATGGGAATGGAGCATGGGATTTCACAAGGAGCAGCGTGTTAACCCACAATGAGAGATCCAAGTTACCTGCTGTGTGAGGAGTTGAAGGCTACGCAGGGATGGATATATATTTCAGTGTTTGTAAACCCCAATGACCCTACAGAGAGCAGCTAGGGGCAAGAAGGCTGTCTAACCTAGAGCTCAGCATCCATTTAATTGTATCTTCTGACTCCCTTCATACTATACCTTTACTCTTCAATTCCATTATAGGCAGTCCCAGGCTCTATCATAGGATTCAGGCAAGAATGCATCCTGGAGGAAAAGAATGGAGATTTCCTGTTTCACAAGGAGAAAAAGGCCAGCTTAGTAGATGACGGAGTGAAGAATGTGCTTGGTCCTGCAATGCTCCAGCTCTAGAGGAATCCTTTGTGAAAGTAATAATTTTCTGAGCCGTTCAGTTGTAAAACATTCCAACTAACTTTATGACCTAGGTTTCAGATTCCTTAATTGCTATATTTTGATTCCTGTGTTTATGCCATGCTCAGTCTTCCATGGATATTTATTTTGAGGGCTGAAATGAGAATTCCAAGAATTCCCATGGCAGGAACACATCATTTCATAGAAGGTTGGAAGCAACCTTAAAGATCACCCAGTTCCAACCCCTCTGCTATGAGCAGGGACTCCTCCCACTAGACCAATCTGTACAAGGCCTCATCCAACCTGGCACTGAACACCTCCAGAGACGGAGCTTCCACAACCTCCCTAGGCAACCTATTCCAGTACCTCATTACTGCAATTCTCTGACCAGACATTGAAGGATTCCTGTGTGTGAGGACAGCTCCTGCTCTACCTACAGAACTCTTCCTTCAGAAGTGGTGTCCTCAAAAAGACACATCAGAGAATTAGTCAGAGACTGGTTCTAGTCCCCAGGGATTCAGAGCTTCTGTACTGGGGCATGAGGTTTCCAACTTCTGAGATGTCCCTGCCTGCTCCCATTGTTCTGTTACACAGGACTGGTGCTCTGATACCCCTGTGGTCTGATTCAGTTTAATTGTTTCTGGGCTTTTCTGATGGAGTCATAAGAGGAGCAGCAAACACTGCCTGGAATATGACCATGGGGCCCAGAAGACTTCTGTTTTTCTTTCCCATCCTTATATTTTTGCTCCCTCTCTCTCTCTCAATTAACTTTTCTCTGTCTCTCTCTTTTAGTCCACTTGGGTCAGTGTTTCACATCTGTGTCCCTGAGGGAGTTCTCTCCTCTACTGTTTGAAATTTCTGCCCTGGCAATACATACTCAGTGAATATTTCAAAGATGCATCCACTCTCAATCTATTAACATGAATAGGCAGTCCCACTCAGTCTTCTGGCTGACAAAAACAATGAAGCATGCTGTGGCCACTGATTTCTTCTTGTATGTCAAAGCTGTCAATGACCACTCTTTCCTTCCTTCTGACTTTGATTTGTGGATACTGCGAAGGCCTAGGACAACAGTCTGCTGCCGTCTGCTGCAATGAAGTCTCCACTGGCCAGCTCTCTGCCAGAGACTTTTACGCTACCGAGTCTCCACTGAAACAACTGTACACTGATCAGCACTCATTCATCGCAGTGGAGAGAACATCAGGCAGAAGGCAGCTCTGCTCATAATGTTCTGATTTTTGAAAGGAAACTGTGTATATATAGAGGGGTTCAAGTGTATGAGTCACACCGTTTTTAACACGTACTAGCCAGTTAATCTCACGCCTTCTTTATACTTGGCCATCAGAGGCGTCCACCTGACTCTGCAATTGTTTTCTGTTGTCTCATGATTAGATACAGGCAATCCAATCAAACACAAGCAATTAAAAATACATAATAACATACTCAATAAAATGTATTATGAATTGCTTGTTTTGGCTTCCAGTCCTGAACAACACTTTGAAAAACTGGGTTTTGATGTCTTGTAATTACATTTGTTTAACATTACTTTTATAAAACATCTCAAATATCTCACATTTGATTGAGTTGCCTTTATCTTATTGTGCCTTTCACACATGTGATTGAGTGACCCATAGTGTCTTCAGCGTATTCATTCTGTGGCACAGACTAATCCACAGCCAGAGATGCTTTGAGGTGTTCCACTATTGCCTCATGCACAGCCACTTTTGCTTCAAGGTGTACCTGCTGTGGCATAGACTTTTCCACAGCCACAGATGCTTCAATATGTACCTTCTCCAATATGGACTTATCCTTGGGCCACAAGCCCTTTAGAAGTATACCTGCTGCAGCACTGAAATAACCACACCCACAGATGCTTCAGAGTGTCCTACTCCTGCATGGACTCATCAACAGTTCATGGTTCCTTCAACTCACAGGCAAGAGAGTATGCAGTAGCAGAGCAATGAAGATAGTTTCAGGGAAATTTCACCTTGTCTGGTGTCCTGCTGTGCCTAAGCCCCGATTTCAAATACACCAATGTCTTCAGGAGTTACTTTTCTGCACCCACAGGACCATGGATGGTTCGGGCAGCCAGAATTTTAATCATCACCTTGAGGTGAGAGAGTAGGTCTAGAAAGGACTTTTCAAAACTATCATAGGAAATAATACCTAGTTATAGGCATTAATAGTGAATCCATAGGACATTACTATAAACAGAGTGAATGTGAACAACAGAAGTTGTTCAGAATCTGTTCAGAATCTGTTGTGTGATCACTGTGGAGACAGGGTGTCATAGGACCCTCACAACCCCTATGGTGTCCCCACAACCCCATACCCCATTACCATCAGCTCAACACTGAAATAAACTGTGGGGTAATGTTGCAAAATTGGGAATTCCTACATGGGCTTGTAAGGAGCATATATTCTGGATTTCCAGAGACTGTAGACCACTGCTCACAAGACTTACTGGGTGGCTGTCTAGTGCCTTAGAACCTGGAGTCTTGTGGGTTGGATTTTTGGGTGTTGAATCATTCATGTAGCTAATCCCAACTTGCCAAATTCAAATTTAGAGGGAAAAAAAGAGAATGCTGGCCATGTTACTTCCTCTGAATTAACTGAATTAATAAAATTTCTAATGTCTGGACTCAGGCTGCAGCCCCTGACCACAGGCTGTTTTCCTGGTGGTGTGGACAGACAGGAGACATTTTATGTACATATCTCCACACTCACCCCTAGGAACTAGTCCTGCCCGTGGTGTTGAATGTGTTGTGGAGTGAGGCACAGCTCTGTCAAGGAAAGGCACAGTTTTGACAAATGGTAGATGTGAAGGACTCAGCAGAATGGGAACCGCTAGCAACTTTATGCCCCAGAGAGGGTCATTAGCTCTTTGCCCTTGGACAATGAGAGACTACTTACTGTCCACAGGACAGGTCAGATTGTAGAAGAGGGATCTCCATGAAAGGTAAAGACATTCTGGCTTGTTTTTAACTTCCTGCCTGGGGAAAGTTGATTTCCACAGCCCCAGACCTGGATACCTGCAGTCTTCCCTTAGATACTCCTGCCGCTCAATTTACTCTGATGTACTGGGTCTGTTGTTCCAACCAGTGTACAAGAACATCAATAAATCTAGAGACCACTTTGAACCTAGAGCTGCCCAAAACAGCTCACAGATGCTGCTGAATGCAGTCCCATGGTAACCGCCACATCCGAAGGAAAGGAAGAGGGATCTGTTCTCATACAGAGCCTTTCAGGACCAGAGCTGACTTCTGGAAGTGATGAAGCTTTAGAGGGTCTCTTCCAAAGCCAAATTAGTCTTTACTTGAGGAACAGTCAGGTACCACAGAGCAGCTGTGAGCAACCAGGAATTGGTTGGGGTGCTGGATTTGCCCTGACCTATGGGGGTCTTGGGTTCTCATGAAACTGTGACTTGTGTCTCCACTGAGACTGTGGCCTGGACAAAACTAACTAGTGGATCCCTTCAGCCCTGCCTGTCTGAGCAACAGCTGGGTGAAGCCAGTTGCTGCACTAAGTGATCATATTGTTGCATGGAGGCATCGTCCCTGCAATGTATGCCCATGGAGTTGGCCATGATCCTAGTTTGGGGTAATTTCTGAGGCTACTCTTTCAGGACAATGCTCTGTCTGAGCCTATTCCTCCAGCACAGCTCAACTCAGAGCAGAAGGAACTCTCTTCCCAAACAACTTGTGCAGCCGCTGACGTTAGTTCATGGCCTTCCTGCAGTCCCCCGGGTTCCCACTAGAGGCCAGCAGAAGACAAGGTCCAACCCTAGGATGCCACGGTCATTTGGGCAGCTGTTGACATCAGACCCAAGGGACACTGCACAAAATTTCCCAGTGCAGTGTGCCTCAATCTCTTCTTCCTCTCTGAATAGTGAAGACAGTCCATGTGCTTTTCTGTCACATTTATTTGACCAGCACAATGCTTTTGTCTGTGGGAAGGTTATGAGAACATGCCAAGAGGGATGGACTAGACTGAGCCTCAGGTTGGGTTGCAACAGAATTTTAATGATTTAACAGTGGGAAATGAGGTAAACAAGTGGAGGCTCTGATGCAGTGAGCACCAGATCATCCCAGAGCCTGTGCCCTGAGGCCAGGGTGGAGTTCCCAAAAGGTGTCCAACTGCCTACACCAGCAAGGGAGAGATGCATCTGATCCCTCTGGGGCTGACTTTGAAAAAAAACAACAGTGGCCCTGGGGAGCAGAAGGCAACAGAGAAAAGGAGAAAGAAGCTATGAGAAGCAGGCAAGTTATACATGAGCCATGTTTTCAGAGAGCTCAGGCACACCTCTTCCTGCTTTGCTTTCCAGGTAGAGCCATCGCTGCTCAGCCCCTCTGAAAGCAATGACCTAACTCTCTGTCTTCAGACCAGCATAATCTTCTGTCTTCTTGGGGGTCCTTCTGTATGAAATCACCTCTGGCTTTAACAAGGGAGGCACCTTCTCCCACAGTAGCGACTGGAAATGCCAGAGAGGTCACAGCACCCAGAGTTGATGGGCACTCCATCACAGCTGAGGATGCTGCCAACAGCAGCAGAGGTGGAGGAGCCCACCACGGTGTTCTGTGGGAAGGAGCTGAGGATGGGGCCGGGCAGGGTCACCACCACAGCAGGAGGCTCGATGGCGACAGTGGAGCTCTGGCACTGCCTGACACAGGGCTCGTTGCAGCTGTTGGCCAGCGGGGTGGGGCCGCAGGGCCGGCATGGCAAGCAGGGCTGGCGACAGGGCTGGCAGGACATGTCTTGAGCCTGGAGCTGCACCTGGGAGAGAAGGGAGGGAGGACACATGGAGGCATGTGAGGAGCAGCCCGTCCACCCTCCACTGGGGAGCCAAGGGACATTTGGGCATGGAGTCAGAGGCAGTGCAGGGAGGTCTGTTTGCCTCTTTTTCTCTTTCCCCAGGCACCGTGCAAATAGAGCCAGGGCCAGGAAAACTCTTTCATACCCAAGAGCCCAAGAGTGCTATTAGCCCAGCTGCAGCCTTTCTCCATGTTAAGATCTTTCCCTGATTCCCCTTGCAAGACAGGCAGCCCTAAGCCCCAGCATAGCACAAAGCAGGTATTATCAGACATGTTCACTGAGACGCCAGTTCATCCCATAGGAACAGAAGAAGAAGATGGCACCCAGGACTCACCTAGTTCCCAAGGTTAAGAAGGAGAATGAAGTGGATGAGAGACCAAGAACCTGCATTGGCTTTTATATTGGTCCTGCTTTGCCCAAGGCTCAAAGGTAGCCCTAGCAGGGTTAATAATTTTCTGACAAACTCTTCTGAAATGTAAGACATCCCAGCTAATGATACAGGCTGTGTTGCATTTTCCTGGTGCCTTTTCATTTTCTTGTTTATGCCATACTTATTCTCTAATGAAGTTTGTTTTAAATGTTGGAACGAGAGTTCCTAAAATTTCTCAGGATGGGACATGTAATTGCAGGAAGAAGATTCACAGCCATTGCTGGAGGGGTCCAGTACAGACTGTGGACACTATCCTGGGGCACTCCTGGGGGGTTGTTTTCAGCCCCATTTGCAGGAAAGACAAAGCCTCTCTCAGCCCTGCAATTCTAGACCAAACAAAAACCCAAGGGATTCTCATATGTTGGGAAGAGCCATGTCCTTTTCCATCTTTCTCTCCTAGCTCTTTCTGATTGCTAACGATCTTTCTGTTCTGAGGCAGATGGATGGCACTGCTGAGTTTCAATATTACTACTTCTTAACACAAGGCTTCAGAGAGATTCCCCAGGCCTGCTTGGCTTCCTCCACTGCTTAGGTTGTGTCTGTTTTCCAGCCAAAGCATATTTTGGGCCTTGAGGTGTATGGGGTGCTCCAGCCCTGCCAGGCTTGTGCCTAGTTAAATCTACAGGTGGTCATGTGTAGATATTTTTTTAATTGGCGAATGCACTTACGTGTATGATAGATTTCTTTGAATGCATGGTGTAGACAAATTTGCATGCATTTTCAAACAGGTGAGCATGAACATGCCTGTTTATATATACCTGGCCCTCATCACAAGAAGATGTGATGGCAGGGACCTTTTCCACCTCTCTGTCATGAATACCACAGAACTGCAGCTTCTTCAGGCCAGAAAGAGCCTAACTTCAGTAGAGCAGTGACAGCTCCACAGTGGAGACGTGCCCCAGCAGCAGGCATTGACATGCAGTCCCTGTTTCCTGTGCCCTTTTTTTCTGACCCTCAAATGATCATGCTCTAACTGCTGCAGATTTCAGAGACTGAAAAGGTCTCTTTCACTCCAGTTTGGAAATTCTGTATAATGCAGTATGACAATGGCTGGAGTTCCTCGACACTGCATGTCCCTGCAGGTGCTGTTGCCTCTCACCTCCTCAGTGTTAAGGAGCTCAAAGAACATTAGCTTTGTTTATAGGAAGAAATGACAAAAAAAATCCTGCCCATCTTGTGCAGGGAAACCTTGAATGGATTTATTTCCAGTTCAGCATTGGTAGTCCCTGTCTAATGGAGACAGGAACTTTAGCTACACAGCAAGGAAGGCAGGACAGAGGTGTGGTTCTCAAAATGCCTTTCAAGCCAGCAAAGCCAGAGTGGTGCCTTTTTACTGATTTAGCCAAGGACAGACTGGAACAGGCCTCTTGCTCTACCAGATAAGTCCACAGCAAGAAAACAGCATAAGGGTTATGATAACTGGCAGAAAAATAGACAATAGGTTAAAAACTGCCTCTGACAGAGTATGTACCTGGGCAGTGCTAATTGGCTAATTTGGACAGTGGTGCTTTCTCGAACAGTGATCTCCAATCTATAAAAAAGGGCAAGATGTGCAGGCCACTGCTCTCTCTGCCTGCCCGGGACAAGAACCTGCTGCAGCACCAGAAGCCCCTGGAACGCCAGCCCCGCTGTCCGGAGGAGTCGAGAGGGAAGGAGGGGCTGCCCCGCACCCGCTGCCCGGAGACACAGAAAGGGGGGAGCAGGGGGGGGCGCCTGTGCCCGCTCCGCGGGGATCGTGCCCGCTCCGGGGGACCCTGCCTGCCCAGCCTAAACCAAACTGGACCTGAGTAGGAGCCTGCCCAGCCTGTGTTTGCTACCTGCTTCAGGACTAGAGCCATGCCTGCCAGCAGCTGCTGCTGGGAGTGGTCGCCCCGATTACCCCCCCGGATCTCCTGCCAAGCCTGCCAGCACATCCTGGGAACCGTACACTCACACACACACACATACACTCTAACTTTCTTACCGGGCTCAACTCCCACCCTTTCACTCCGTTGATTTTACACCTCTCCTTCGGAATGTGCCTTTCATAAGACCATAGCACCTTTGAATCCCTTTTCCAATATACGCCTAGCCAACCTCCCCTGAACCTTGATCCCTTAGTTTGTGTTGACCCTTAAGAAACTGATTAATTTGTAAACTAAACATTGGTCTCAGTAACAATTTGTGAGTGTGGTGAGAGGGTACTCTAATCTACCCTCTAAGATACGGCCCCCCAGTGGCCGTTCCTCTGTGAGACGTGTGACCCTCGGGCTCATTCACAAACCTCTCCATATTGGGGGGGGGGAGTCGCAGAAACATCCTGACAGCCGGTAGCCTTGGTACCAGCTCGCGACAAGAGGCCATGGCAGTCCACACAGAAGAGGGAGGCTGTCAAGGTGGAGAAGACTGGAAGTTGGTGGCTTCCGGCAATAGAAAAAAGGCTCCTGCTCCGTCTGCAGTCTTTATCTTCGGAACAGATTCAGCCACCTTGGAACTGATGGGGACAAAAAGAAAGATCAGGGAATTCATCACAGGGAACTGTGCTCAGACAGTTTTTCCTCATGAAGGAGCAAGGTCCTATAACATCTTTAGGAGACTCTCTTAGGAATCTTATGTACCAGTCTGCTAACCTGGCCTGATGTCTCAGGAAATTTTTTTCTTTGAAAGAGGATATATGCAATATGCAGCAGAAGGACTTGTAATGGCTTTGGAGTATTACCCTTTGCTGCTTTTCATGTAGGCAACAATGATAATGCCCAATGTGTTTTGAGAGTGACTAGAGAGCTCTGAGGTTAAGTAGGGATGTGAGGGCCCAAACTGGAAAGGCTTGAGTAGAAAAGATCTTATCCAGTGGTTCAACACCTGGATGCATGCTCTGTGTTGCAGACAGGACTTTGATTTTGATTGCCAGAGATCTGTCTTTGATGAATGAGGACTACTAATCAAGGATGGGATATATTTGACAGTCATGCAACAGAGTCTTTGCAGTCAGGCATGGTAACAAGGAGAGGAGAGCTCTAAAATAGGTATGACAGGGGAGGTTTACCACAAAGAAAAGAGAAGTGAGACCATAAAGGTAGAACAGATAATTTAAAATCTATGTCCATGCCTTAATTCTGGTACTGCAATAGTCTCTCTCAGTTTTAAAACTTTTTACTGTTTTGGTTTTTTTACTGTTTGTAAATGAAAAAGCGACAACCAACTTGTCCCTTCCTCATAATTGTAGCAGTGGTGCACATAACAATGAACAGTTGTTCAGTAAGTTATTTCAGTTGAGAGATGCTCCCCACTCCAAACAACTCACAGCTTTGTTTTGCCAGCTTGCTTTTATCTCTGAGGTGTAGTGAAGGTGACTGTATTACTCATCTGTGGGGGACACAATGTGAGTCATTCAGTGTAATGGCAAATGTTCTGTGTTCTCTACAGACAAGTAGCACTTGTAAATTGAATACTGAGAAGTCATGTTTAGTCCTGTGCTAGTCCTAGTTATATGCCCTTTTTCAGACTCAGAATATAGCTGATGGCTTCCTGCCAAGACAAATGTTGGTGTATAGAAATACTCCTTATGCAGACACAACATCCAGGAAACTTACATCTAAAGGTGGGTAGTATTTGTGACTTACTCCCTTGAGCTTACAACTTAGGGCTTCATTTCCAGACAAGCTACCTAAAAATGCTTTTTTTTAGGTACAGCAGATCAGCCTGCCTGTCCGAACTTGCTACAGTGGGTTTCTTCACATTAAGATGCATGAGATACAGTCATGTCTTAGTGTCTCTGTGCTCCCTTCATGTTCAGTGGACCTGGTTAATTGGGAAGGTAGACTAGCACAGCTCAGTCCACCAAAACAGGAGATACCTTCTGCCACAGATGGCTGAACTCCTGCCTGCCCATGCAAAGGCTGAAAAATGCTGTGGAATGCAAGGAATAAATGCAGAGAGCCATGCAACTGATCTCTCCTTGTCTAGGGCACAGATCTAGCCAAGCTCTGGCCCTGGTGTTCATGAAACTGCAGCAGGTATTGTGCAAACCTCTGCTCTGGGGAGTTTTGGATGCTTCCCATCTTTGTCCAGACCCCAGAGGACCTGTCCTGGTTTGAGCCAGGATGAAGCCAGTTTTCTTTTTACTGATTTTTTTTTCCTTCAGTAAGCTGTCTTTTAACTAGCACCAAAGCGTTCCAACTAAGACTGATAACAGTGGAATGTGTTTCTAACTTCAAGGTCTTCGAGGTCGCATCTTTACTCTGCTGGCTCAGACACTACGGGGAGATTCTGCTGGAATAATCTCTTTGACCAATTTTGCCACTTGTCTAGTCCACTGCTCCCTACGGGAAGGTTGCAGTCCTTCTGCTCCTTTTGTGTCTGAAGCAGCTGATCCAGCAAGAAGATCAAAGTGACCTTGGTCTCTCAGCATTAAATATAAACATTTGAGTGTTACCAGTCAACTGGTCGGAAAACCTGCTGTTATTTTCAGCAAGTGTGCTGCTTTAAAGAGAGTTCACTGAAGAAGAGGAAGAAAAAAAAATGGTAAAAAGAAAATTGGGAAGTGGGGAACCCAAATAATGCCCTCA